ATATACATACATATGTATAAATATATACATACATATGTATAAATATATATGTATGTATATACGCGAAGTTGACGTTTTGTTCCTTTTGCCTGCAGTTTGTTAAATGTAAAAGTTATTTGGAATTTATAAATTCATAATTATGAGACGGGTTTTTAACAACAAAGAAGTTATATATTATAGAAACGTCTCAACCCGCAGAATCGAAAGCATTCCAAAACAGGGAAACTTGATAGTAGAGGTTTAGATGCTTCGAAAAAGATAAAGGCATTTGGTCATCCTCTCATTTCAACCGTAGAATGGCTAAGTTGAAAAATAGGAATTGATTGAAAAATGCTCCGTATTGAGTAACAATTGCAACGAATGAAAATCATAAAAAGAGCATATCTCGTCCACCTAGGAACTTCAACAAAATTCCGAATTTCCAACAAACATATATAGTACATACATACATAAGTACGCATACTTATGTGGTAATAGTTGTAAACACAGAGATTCGCAAGGATTAAAAATAAGATGAAAAAATAAGTGACGGTCTGCGCTCCCTTTTCATTATATGCTCTTCTCTATGAATTATTTACTGCAAGCTCATTATATCCACAAACGTCAAGCGACACGCTCGTCTCGATTCTTCGACGTTCCAACTGCTTAATTAATTATTGTAATTAGTACATGTATTTAATGTCAATCAAAATTAACATTATCATATAAATAACCAGTGCAATATCTAACTTTTGGCTTAATAATACCGCACACATGTAAATATATACATATATGGATATGCATTAGTATGTGTGGCTTCACCTAAGTATTATGTATAGTGAGAGCAGCAATGTAGAGAACGCCTACGCTGGCTGCCACGTAATTGAGAATACGTTAACACTTCAATGTGCACTCTCGCAATCACACTCCAGCAAAAAGCTGCGCTTGCCCCGGATCACTCAAAAAGTGCACGGGCAGGTTTCGCTGTTGCCGTCGCCGCCGCCGCAGCCGCCGTCATTGTTCACTTGGCGCAGGCAAGAGAGTGAGACAACTATTTGACGCGATTAGACGGCCACGTTCTTCCATGTAGCAACGGTGGTCGCAGCTAGTGGCTGGTGCCTGGCTATGCATAGCGGCGATAAGCTCTCGCACCGCTGCGTCATTAAAGTACAACGCGACTCGAGCGAAAGCGGGCGTTTACATTTCGTTGAATCGCAACGTTAATATTTTAAAAGCAAAGCGGGCGCAGCGCGATTTACCGTCGCAAGACATGCTAAACCAAGAAGAACAATAATTTCGCTATTGAAGCACTTCTGAGTGCCCGAAAAGGAAGTTATCGCCACTAATGCACAATTAAATAACAACTAATTCGGTTAAAACCCACACGCAAAGGCGTTACAGAATCTCTGAACGGCGCGTGGACATTGTGATTTTAAGCGGAAGTATATGTATTAGGCGCGGCTGCTATGCGTGCGTGTGTGCGCAATTAAACGCTTTGAGGCACATTATGGCGTTGACAGCTCGTCAATTCTAGCGCAACCGTTACGCTACGCCAACACAGATACGGCATCGCCAGCGCTACTGTTACTTATAACCGATTCACAATTGCGGTCTCTTTTGTCGGTGTCGCTACTCATCTGAAACTGCGAGTGCACTCTTCCTCAGTGGAAACTATTAACAAATCGAATGGTGCGGGTTTAGTCAGTTTTAGCGTCACATACATTGTGAAGTTAGTGGAGCGTTGCAACTTGTCAATTGTATTTTCATTGTTACCGCCGCAGTTAGTAAATCAAGCATTTAATTGTGTTGTCGAGTTGTCGCGATTTCAATTAACCAACAAACCGCGAAGTGTTTTCTTGTCACAATCTGTGCACCTCAATCACTGTGTATTAATTTTAAAGTCACTGCCTAGCAAATGATCAAGTGACCGTTATTAAGTGAAAGTTGAATTTCCTGTTTGGATCGGTCGCCCGAATTTCGCTTTTAATTCGCGCGCGCGTATTAACACTCGTTTGTGATAGATTGTGTTGATCGCAGTTTCGCAAATGGTCACGTGCAGTCGCCAACCGTTCAACATGCTGCCAATGGCGCCTATTAATCCCTTTGTCGTGGGTCTGACCCCTTCATCCATGGCAGCAGCTGCAGCGGCGGCCGCCGCAGTTGCCGTGTCCACCACCATTGTCCGGTCTGAAGACAATGCAACCACCACCACAACCATAGGAACAGCGACCGTTACTACTGCGTCGATTAAACCGAAGTTGGCGTTCAGCATCGATTCTATTGTCGGTAGTAATGTCAACAATAGCCACAATAAACTCGATAATAGCGGCTCGGCGCATCCAACGGATTTTCGGCCTATGCGACCATCTGCTATTTCACCACCACTCTCTTCATCGCAACGCAGTGACAGTCCCGATGAACGCACAAATGCTGAGCGCGATCGATGTCGTCTATTGCTCGCTTCTTACGAACGACCGCCAAGCCGCATAAGCCTCAGCCTCAGCGAAGATTCTCACCAATGCCAACAACCAATAGAATTAAGGAATAGCTTTACTGTAAATTATCGTCCCATCAGCTCAGTGGCGGATCAGCATACAACAGCTTTAACACGGCCACCACCATTGGGTCTTATTTATTGCCGCCGGCGTTCGATGTTGGATTATTCACCAGAACGTGAATGCAGTAGTCCGTCCTTGGTCGGCAGGTGCCGATCACGCACTAGATCCCGCTCTCCTTCCCACCAGTCAGTAGTATCTTCCCATGAGCACAATGCCACCGTTAACCGCAGTCGAAGTCCATCGCCTGCACCAACACCGGCACATAGCCGCACTACACCACGATCACCACCAACGCCAAATAGCGGTGGTGTCACAGTTGGGGAGCTTAACAAGCGACCAATTCATGTGCCTGGTATACCAGCAGGTCTGATTCGTCCATTACCTCTACAAGCTCCACAAAGTTTATCTCTACTTCAGTCTGGCAATGCTGGCGGCGGAGCTCCCGTATCTTTAGAAGGTAGTAATGTTCCAACGATACAAGCCTCTGGACCTCCTCCTCTACCACAATCCCTTGGTATATCGTCACAATCCTCGACGTCCGGTGTGGTTGCAACACCGCCACCCCCTCCCAATCCACACTTTTTGGCCGCTCAGTTCCAAATGGCTGCTGCCTTGGCGCACCATCACCATCAGCAGCAACAGCAACAACATCATCCAGCGGCTCATCTGCCAAGCGGTCATCCGATGGCCCTGTTCCCACCCGGACCGCATCATCCCCACTTCGGCGGCCCACACATGATTCGCGATAGTTACCCTCTCTACCCTTGGCTACTCAGTAGGCATGGACGGATATTTCCACATCGATTTCCTGGTAGTAAGTTTTCACAATCATAACAAAACATAACCTAAGAATTATTATTTATTTTAAACATGACGTTACATTAGATTTTGAGAATTTGAATTCGTTATAAATTTTATACGGAACCTTCTTGGGCATTTCAACTGCCACAAATAAAATAATCTCAGTTTGATTGTATCACCTCTACAATTTCGCCTTTAACTTTCTCTTCTCTAAAATTAGCCGAACCTTACTGCTTTTACAATTTGGAGTATTTTACTTGTATTAAGGTGATTAGTCTAGAGTCTTAGATAATGAAATGTTTTTTACTCCAAACAATTTTGCTTAGACAGTCGTACCAAACAGCATTTTCTGGTAATCAAACATACTGATACTCGAATCTATACGAAACAAGTTGCATGTCATAATTCCCAAGAACCCAAACGTAATAACATCTCTTCCAGAATATTAATCAATTTCATTAGAAACATCATAATTATACGAAATGTTTGGGAACGCCTCCTCTTCCACTCGTCCAGAGACGAAATATCCATTTATTACAAGTAAATTAGTGCACACTTAGCCAGAGTTTGGACGCGGCTTACAGTGATGCAAGCACTCCACTTGAGAATTGGGACTGCAACAAAGTGCAAAGAGGCAAGAATTGCTTTAACAAGCTAAATAGCAGTCAAACCTTCTAAGTGTACGCATAGGTATAGCAATTTGAAATAAATTACATTTTAATTAAATTGTTTGAACAACATGGCACACATCGTTAATTTGAATGGATGCAAGTTAGTGTCATGCAACAGAACAGCACAAAACACAACTGTAATATAGAATAAAAATGTGAGAGGAAAATAAAAAGCGATTGTGTGCTCCATATGGACGCAAACCAGCACATGCACACATACACATACATTATACATATACATATACGTAAGTAACACAGTGCTTGGGTGTGTGTGCGCGGCATTGGCTAAAAGAGCGGCGCTTGTAGCTCGACAAGACAGGCGCCCGCTCTACATGGCTTTGTTCTGTTTTATGTTTAACTTTTAACTATCCACGCAATGACACATGTACGTATGTATGTTCTCCTATACAGACTTGCTGCGCGCCTACTTCGGCGTGTATCGGCAGCACCGAAGCTAATGCGTTTTTAATTGAGGTGTATTTGACTTCTACTTAAAATTAGCACAGTAAAAAGGCAAATGGAGTAAGAAAAACTGACAAGCGTTGCCGTTTAACTCTGCTCAGTGTGAAATTAAAGAGTTTTGGGTGAATTTCAACATTTCCATTTCCTCCAAATTAATTCAACTGTCATCTAAACTCCCTCCAAATGCTCCATTTATCATCATCCAATTACTTTATTTGACGCACCTTTCGCTCCGGACGAAAAGGCCTGGCTCCTGGCTCCAAAATTACATACACACACGTAAGCACACATGCACACCAATAAGTGACTTAATGTTGTTGTTTATCGTATGTTTTTTCTAACTGAACTCATGCCGCAACTGTTGATAACTAATGAGTTAATTGAAAGAACTATTTTTTAGAAACACCGAAAGGCTTTATGAGCAGTTATTTAGGATTTTTTTGTAGCGTTGTACGTAGAGCGAAACTTTTATGAACATTTTTTTACACACGATATGAACGAGTTAGCGACGGGAAATAATGGTCTAACTCGTTCAGCTATTAAATGTAAACCAAGCGCCAAACAAATTACGTGTATGAGAATCGGATAAAATACTTTTCACCTGATTTGATCATTTTTGCTGCAGCGTCCATTAAAAGCAACAACGCTTTTCACTTATTCCCTTGTAAGCACAACATTCGAGCGCTGTCATTCACAAATTGAGTAACAGTTGCATTATTCTTCCAACTATTTACAGCACAATAAAAAAGAGCATGAAGATTAATTTTCGCTCAATACTCCTACAATTAAAGTGTCGCGAATCTTTTGAATGGATTGTTGGTAACATTTATGTATGTTATCAAGGAATCTCTTCTCTCTTTTTTTAAATTATTAAATGTAGCATTGCTAAGCACATTCCATGGCATATTTCCCGCAACCAACGCTGCACATAAATCAGTTTTAAACGTGTTGCTAGAAGCCTGCGTATTTTCGTCGTTGAGGTTTCTGGATGCTTTCGACCTTACGTGAAATGCAGTAGCAATATGCTGCTCAAATAATAAAGACATTAGTTTTTATTGAAGATTCTTTGCGAAAAAAATTCAATTGCAGCAGCATATTGCTACAACGCACTGTTAATATAACAATCAGGCTCACTGTAAAACTTAATATTTAATAAGTGAAATTGAATTTTCCAATGAAATTCCTTTGCAAATGTTGCATATATTTCGCAAAAATCTCTATTAACAAAAACAAAGACCAGAGTAAAAGAGGACAAACATTTTAACAGCAATTTCTAATCAATAAAAAATTGTTGGAGGGCTGAAACTGTCATTCAAATACATACATACATTCACACGATCGTACCAAACAGTTAACTATATATTTGCCGTTTGTGTCGCAATCGTTTCACTTAGAGCTCAGCTTGTCGGCATGACACTTTAAATGCCGCACAACAACATTGGACTAGTGTACTCGTGCACTCCTCAGTCTTTGTTCTCATTTGCAACATAATGTTTGATATGTCTATATCTATTGCGATGAACTCAGAAGACACTCTGCTATATACACATACATACAACCGACCAAATGTTGTATTTTAAAGTTATGCAAAAATACTAAAACGCAACCGAATTCAATGAAATTTTGAGTGTTTTATTCTTTAATTCATTTGTAAACAAATGTTTTACGAAATAACCTAAAAAATAAAATATAAAAAGATAATAAGTAAGAAACTTAAGAGATACTTAATTTTCTCAGTTTTGCACGTTCCGCAAAAACTATATGTTCGTGTGTTTTCAGTACTTAGTTCAGGGAACTTTATTTTGAATGACGCTTTTAACACGTTAAGACATGCTTTCCACGTGATTTTGAATAAAATTGTTCGGAATTTGGTTCCACTCGTATTGTACACGTTGCCATAGCTCGTCTTTTTTATCAGGTGCTCTCTGATATTTTGCTAACCGTCTTTTTAATACTGCCTACAAATGCTCAATTGGATTGAGATCGGGGGATTGTGCGGGTCACTTCATTACCCGAAATCTTTAACTATTTTAGCGTTTGAGATCACCGTTCTGTTGAAAAAGGGCTTTACATTTGGGGTAGGCACATCTATGAAACCCGGCAAATTGGTCAGCAAAATATTCGAGTAGTCTTCCTTCTAACTTATACCGTCGGACTGAAATCGGGTAATTTTCACTTCGTCTGACCAAATCACACGCTTCCAATCCTCAACGCTCCAATTTTTATGGTCGATAAGGCCAGCTTTTTTGTCCGGATAGCTAATACCAATCCGACTCGATGCAATGACATACGCGCGCTCCATTCACTGACTGTCTTATTTTGGTGTTATCGAGCTATTTTTCCGCATTTCCCGTTCCATTAAACGTGCATCATGTTCTGAGTGGAGTTTAGGCCGTCCTCCGACATTTCGCGCACATACAATATTTCACCTTTATTTAATTATTGATGTTTTTATTATCTATATCATACATATTTATAATATATAAAAATTATGTATCACTTTTCCTTCGGGGTTATCTACTAAACTACTGAACCGGTTTTAGTAAAATTTAAATTTAAATTCTTTTCAATTAAATTTTGATTCAAGTTAAACGTTAGGATAGTGTAAATCTCAATTATATTAAAAGTAGAACTATTCATAAATAAAAAAAGTATTTCTAAACATAAGCATGTTTTCAAAATTCAAAAAAATTAAATTAACTAAAATTGTCAGTAAAATGCCAAAAGGATAATTCATTATTTCTTCCATTGACAAATATATTGTATGTATTAGTAAATAATATTTTCCCTGTATTGAATAGATTATTCTATAATTAAAAGTATTTTATAAAAGCATACCATGAAAAAAGAAAACCGGGGCTCGGGGTGATATAGAGTGAAGCATAATTTTAAATATAAAATTACAAGCAAATATTCTTATGAAATAAGTATAGTAATTCATAATAGAAACAATTGCAGTGAATTGTTGGAAAAAAAAATTTCCAAAAAATTGTTGTAAAGCACTGGGCTTCCCTGAGAATTCCGGGCCGCGATCTTCCCCCTTTCTCCTGTACTCTGTATACTATAGCCACAGCAACGCGCCGTCGGATCTTCTAGTTTATATATAGAGTTAAAATAAAATTTCTGAACACTTGCTCGGCTTTGCTCGGTACTGTACATACATATATATTGCACATATGTACTCGGCAGTAAACTAAGCTGCCAGGTGTGTTCCAGTATGGTAAGCGTAACTCTCAGCCTCCGGCCTGAGAAATGCAGCAGTACTAAATCTGTAATTATTCTATTATGTAAATATCAGAGAAACTTTATTTCGAAATGTTCAACTGAACTTAAATAAGTGTGTTCCCAAAAACAAAACACTCACATCTTGCGTTTCTTTCTCAATGAAGTCTTTAGCAGTTCTTCTTCTTCGGCGCTACCCAAGAGCAACCGTGTCAGCACCATGTTACTATTGAAGAGTCGAATTCGAATAAGGTTGAAGACTGCGACTATTCACATAAAAGTGTGCATGATGGAGATGGCTAATACGAACTTGTTAAAGAGATCGCGTCCGACGCGAGGAACCGCCGTGCGCGCATAACTGTGAAACCCGCCACCGCAAATGCGATGCAACGCTGATATTACAAATACACATTAGCTCATCCTCAAGGGGAACAGTGGCGAACAGCGTTTACCTCGCCTCATGGCAGGTTGTTAGCTTTAATGACGATGATGAGGACAATTTCGAAATGGCGGCTGTGTTATGCAAATGCGTGGTGGTGCAAACGAGCGCTACAATAAAGCGATTTCTCGCTTGCAACCATTCGTCATTACCTTTTATTGCTGAGTAACGAGAGATCCAGTTTAGCTTACCAATCGAAGTGGTTGCATGTACAAATGTCAAAATGTTGACTTTTCCAGAAACTAGTAAGCATGAACTTTGCGCTCAAACATACTTAAAAGTTAATTAAAAATCTACATGTGTGAATAGCAATTAGGTCAATGTTTTCCCCTCCGAGAATAGCCCTAATACAATAGGATATTGTAATCCGAACACAAATGTGCGCATCAAAGGAACACATGCAAGCCTTCTTGAATTCCAAGAAATGCTTACCATTCGAAAAATTATTAAAATCATATTAGCAGTCCGAACAATTGCTTTATATACGCATTTATTTTAAAACGAAAACGAAATCTAATTAAAATTTCCAGAATATACATATGTACATATGTATTTGGTGTCCCTTGAGGCTGATGCTTGATTAACACAAAATAAATATATGTGTACACAAGAATCCAAGAACTCAATAGGGAAACCCTTTTAACCGCATTTCTTCGAAGAGTCGATGCAACCGAAATACAAAGGTAGTCGAAGAGCGCGCACGCACAGCAGTAACTTTCTAATAGCCTCATCAGAGCTGTTACCGCCGGCACGCCTTCTTTTGTTATACAGCCAACCATGTGAACACATACTTACATACATGCTTATATAACACATGATTACTCTTGATCATACCGTATCATGCCGTTGTAGCGATACAAAATCAACCGAGTAAAATATCGAGTCAAAACGTTAGGAAACTTTTAGTCTAAACTCTTTATTTATAAATTATGTTGGCGACTTCGAAATAATCTCGTTAGCACTACTTGTAAGCATTTGGTGTCTGGGTCCTTGAAAAGTTATTATCATATTTCGACAATTTTATTAGGCGTTGTTGTCATCCGATTCATTCAGGTCATCCATTTTCACAGTGTATGATAGGAATGTTTGGGTAATCTCATCACCAACTTTCGTTGAAATTGTTCAAGTAGTTCCTGAGATATAGATTTCACCTAAATGTGGGCAATGCTACGGAGACCCGTCCACTTTTATGAAATTTACATGCCATATGTGTTCCTTACTACTACCATCCACTGTCCCAACTCACAATTGTGCATTTTAATTTAGTGCTTAGTTATGACACTTTATACGTTTTCGTTTAATGGCGCTTTATGGGCGTGGCAATGGTCCGATTATGCTCATCTGCAATAGCAACGCCCTTAGGTACCAAGGAGTACGTGTGCTAAGTTTCATCATATATTCATATATATATATATATATATAAACGATCAGTATGACGATCGGAGTAACTGTCCGTCTGTGCATCCCTGCAAGCGATAACATGAGTGAAAATTGCAATACCTTGATGAAACTTAGCACACGTATTCCTATATATATTTATATATCTCGATTAGTTTTAGATGCTACAGACAACCATTAGGTGTACACAACTATTATACTCTGTAGCAACATGTTGCGGGAGTATAAAAATAACGAACCACCGAACCGATGAATGTACGATAGCGCCGAAGTTTGAGCAAAAATACAAGCTTTTAACAGCTGTGCATACGAAGTCACACCATTTAAGGCGACAGTAAACACACTTTCCAAGGACCGCCTAGAATCGTGGCATTAGTGGTGCCAAAGACTGTGTTGAATTGTTGTCTCCTGCCGACCTCCATAGATGTATTTCAGTGCTTACAGTTTGCAAAGCGAGTTCAGAAAAAATTTAATAAACTTTGTCCTCATTCTTTTACAAGCCCTTTTCACTTCTCTTCTCCTCAAGTGGAACCACAATAAAAACTAATCGATCAAAATCCAATCATTTTATTGTAAATTTCTTAAATAACAAAATATCTTAACGAAATTTAGAAAAACCAAGAAAAAACGTTAACTTCGGTTGCACCGAAGCTATAATACCCTTCACAAATACAAAGGCCCCTTACATGAACTTGATTCCGAACGTTCAATTTGTATGGCAGCTATATGATATAGTGATCTGATCTGACCAATTTCCGCGGAGAATAATTTGTTGCCTTAAGCAAGAACTCATGATAATTTCGTGAAGATACCTCGTCAAATAAAAAAATTTTCCATGCAAGCACTTTACTCCGATCGTTCAGTTAATATGGCAGCCACATGTCATAGTCATCCGATCTATACAATTTCTTCGGCGATTAGATTATTGCCTTAAATAATAATACATGCCGAATTTCGTGAAGATACCTCGTCAAATGAAAGAGTTTTCCATACAAGCACTTGATTCCGATTGTTCAGTTTGTATGGCAACTATATGCTATAGTAGTCCGATATCGTTCCGACAAATTAGCAGCTTCTTTGTGAGAAAAGGACAGGTGCAAAATTTCAGATCGATAGCTTAAAAACTGAGGGACTAGTTTGTATATATACAGACAGACGGACAGACGGACAGACGGACAGACAGACAGACGGACATGGCTAAATCAACTCAGCTTATCATGCTGATCATTTATATATATATTTTATAGGGTCTCCGACGTTTCCTTCGTGGCAAACTTAATATACCCTGTTCAGGGTATAATTATTGTCCAAAGCAGCGGTGCAATCTCCGAATATATAGTTCGAATCGGCCAACTATAGCATATAGTTGCAATACAAACTGACCGATCAAAATCAAGATAAAGATCATTTTATACCCTTCTATGATACAACAAGTGCACCTGTAAAGAGTGGTATAGCTTCGGTGCAGCCGAGGTTAGCTTTTTTCTTGTTTTCAGATGTATTTGCAGGCACGAAATTTTCTGTCGGTGGAATATCTGCGAACTGCAACTGTTGCTGACAATTCCCTAAAATTATCAGATGGGAGCTCGTTAGCACAATCAAATAGAGATCCTGACATCAACAGATTTTCTCATACTTACTCCGCGCTAACATTTCTGCGGCGCTCACCATATTTGTTTAGAAAATGTTTGCTAATGACAAAATGTGTGCGGCCATATAAGCACGGCCGCGAAATCATTAAAGCTCACTTTTACCAATTTTCCACTTTTCAAGCAGAGGAATTCAAAGCTTTCCACGTACTTTTTTGGCAATAACGGTACTTTGTGGCTGGGAAAATATGTGATTAACTCGCTCCTTACACATACATACAGACCATTTTTGTTGTTGGCGAGAGAAAATTGTTTATTTGAATGCCGAAGTGAGTACCTACTTGGTTACTTATTTGTGTATAACTTAAGTGACGATAGCGAAATAGACTTACAAGTAGATGAGGATGTCACATCAACCATGGCTCAACTGTCAATGTGGCACATTATCTGCTGGTACACAACTACTGGCGTCGAATATTTTCGCTTTGCTGTATTAATCTGGGGAATGATGCATGAACAAATTACGGTTCATTAAAATTGCGACTTCTCCGACGTAGATACATAAGTACATATTGGCACATATGAATTCTATATTAGAAGGTGGTGAGTGTGGTACGAAATGGATATGAGGTATATTCACGATATATTTGATATATTTTCAAAAAACAAATGTAAAGTCCTCTGTCTTGGCATCTGACTTGATTTTATCTGTATTATTTCTCTTTCAGATTTCTTACTGCAGCCTTTTCGTAAGCCCAAACGTGTGCGAACAGCATTTTCTCCTACCCAACTGCTGAAGCTAGAGCATGCCTTCGAGAGTAATCACTATGTGGTGGGAGCCGAACGGAAGCAGTTGGCGCAAGGACTGAGTCTCACGGAGACACAGGTAAGCCCGTATGACAATATTGTGTGGCTGAACTTTAGTGCCGGGTGGTATAGATTTAACGTGGTTACCAAATACCGATGCATACGTATGGATTATGCTGGATCCATGCTGGCGCAACAGGGACTTGACAATTTAATAGTATTTTTTAACGACGGGAGCTAAAGATAGTTATTTCAGAACCGGCACAACTACACGTTTGTGCTCAAAGACACCGTGATACAGTGAACAGTGACACTGTCAATGAATAACTTTGGGACAAAGTGCAACAAGGATATTCGTCAAACAATGCCACAAAAATTGTGCAACGGATTAAACATATTTTTAGCTTCCCCAGAGTCCCGAAGTACTTTTAACCAACTTGCTAATATTTAACGCTCAGGCCGAGGTATCCAATAAATATTGCAAACATAGCATAAATAGAGGTTAAGCGGATATATACAACAATTATGTAATTTGCTATCAACACAAAATGGCCACGTGACTGTAATTGTAAATTTTACTCAAATCTGAACTATTTCTCCACCCACCCACACTACCTAACAAACCGTGTGATACATATGATACTTATCGTTAAATATGTATGGGGTTAAGTTGAGGGCATCAAATTCAATAAGTGGTTTCATATATTAATCACGCCCGCACCCCCAAAAATTATCAAATGGCAAATTCAAATTCATCACTCCTTTTGGGGTGCATCTAACCGGCAATTCGTAGCAATCCTAAGCCAATGTTCAACGGCAACAATTTCCTCGGTATGGGCTTATTACAGCAATAACAAAAGAATACACACATAAATATACATATGTATACAAGTACAAAGGTAGATTCCCATGGCCGAGGGTGTTCTCGAGGGTATTTGTGGGTTCAATTGCAATGGAAGGAAACTTGAACGACGGCCTAAGTTTAAGTGATTGCATGTCAACTGATCGTTAACAGCCTAACTACTTGAGTTATTAGCCGTAAATACAACCCCCATGCTATGGTGCGAATGTTGCAATTGTGGCAGATAAAGCGTAAATACCAGGTACTCAAGTTGTTTGCCAGCTTTGCCCATTAACAATAGAGGCAAGGGTTGTAAATTGTCAGGAAGGGGTGGGAAAGTTGCGCACAAACCAATTGACTCTCTAACACCCTTTAGTGTTTTATGCATGGCGTGCAAATAACGGTCGCAGTAATAAAGTGGTTAATAGCCGCTTTCTTCCAATAGGCAGGTGAGACGGAAGGTATTTGAAATCACGTTGTGTGTACTATTAGAATGTTGGCTACATATGGTATATTTAATCGGCCAAAGCTTTGAACCACTTTTCATAATAAAGAATTAAGGGATAATGTCATAGATAGCAACAGCACTTCAGTAAGAATTACCCTTGAACCTTTACTTTTCAAGTTCAAGGAAAACTAATCACTTTTTTTTTTTGGTGTGGTGTCTTCGAAGAAAGACCAGAGTATGTAGTCCGAGGATATGAAGGAAATTGTTAGAAGAAAAATTCTGGACTATAGATTAGTTAATCTCTGTAATTTAAAACGGATTGTCTGTTATACTGAAATATTGTCTGCTTTGCAGGTCAAGGTTTGGTTTCAAAATCGCCGCACCAAACACAAGCGCATGCAACAGGAGGGTGACAGTGATTCAAGGAGTCAGAAGGGCAGTCAAGCTGGGGATAATGATGCGAACAAGAACGACAGCTCGCAGAATAGTTTCGAAGATCAAGAAGAGGATGATGAGGAGGATCTAATCGAAGAGGATGAGGATGAAGTCATCGATATGGATGATTATGGCAGTGAAATGGATGCTGAAGAGCACCAGCGATTGCGAGAACAGTTTCAGCAACAGCTGCAGCAACATCATGAGCAATTGCAGCAAATCCAGCAGCAACAACAACAGACACAAGGCCCAGTGCAACAACTACACCGTGAACAACGAGATTTCAGGGTGCAACAACAACAACAACAACACCAACAATTCATGCAACATCAACAGTTTTTGCATCAACAAGCACAACAGCAAAAGCAACTTCATTTACAACAACAACAGCGGCAGCAGCAACAGCAATAGCAAGAACAGCCATGATTGCAGTAACTCAAGTGTGAAGCTTATAGTGGCGAATAGCAGGTTTACTCACCCGCAGCTAATTGTGGCCACTGGGCGTGGTGGTAGTCGTTGTTCCATTCACTCCATCTGTCTCGCTTTCAAGCTTTTTCGCCAATACATTTTCCTTTAATTGCATTCCCCGTCCCCTACTTTACCGTTGGTTGTTTTCAAACTCGAATATCAACAACACGATCGTTTATGTAAATTCTTCATCGAATCCGAATTGTATTTATTAATTTGTAAATTAGAAGCTTAGCCATTTAATAATATATTTACGATTAGAAATTACGATGTAATGTTATAAATAAGAATTACGATAATTAATAAACGCAAACAATTAAATTATAAAAATGTATAGTGTAGCAAATGAAGTACGAGCTTCGAAGAGCTTCCATTCCTCCCACTGAGCTACAAATCGTCGCTGTGGCAATGCAGTTCTTGCAACAAATGTTAAGCATTAAGAAATCCATTTAAATAAAAGTTCCATAAATCTACGGCCTGGCTGCAATTAGGCAACTCGCACGTCTATTGAATGCATACATACACCCAACCACACTTTCATTGGTGTAATACATTGGCGTACAGCGCTTGGCTGCCTTAGTCGCGGTGGCATGCAACGTCTGCTCTGTCTGCCACTTCGGCACCCTTACATGCCATTCCCGTGGAGTCTGCCACATAAAACGCGATAAATTAAATAAAATGCCAACATCTCCACCAGTGCTCCACGCCCACTACCCGCCATAATTACACCTGCCAGATATGTACGTATTTACTTTGATTTAGCATTTCATCCTTCCATCTTTGGTAATTTTGTAATCGATAACAAACATATGAAATAATCGAACACCTTGTTATTATAATGACATGATTAAATTTACGTAAGAATTGCCCACTAAATAAAACAAATAACTATATGAAGATATATATGAAAGCCTGGCACAGAGCAGATTATATATCTGTATGCATTTATGTATATAATATTTCCCCATTTCTTCCAATGGGGTGACAAGTATCGACTGTGGCAAATGTAGTATCTCTGAGCGTTAGTAGTTATGTTAGAAGTTTGTACGCCCCATTCATACTATGACTAAGCAAAGCGATACTAACCAAGTACAGAACCGGAATAGACATTTAAATATAATATAATAACGGCGTTCAGCATTGAGCTAAAGGGCAAGATCCCATACCATCGCGATATCACAAGCCAACTGCCATTGAAACAATTGTGCAAAACGTAAGCAATATTGAATTGTATGCTTCGAGTGCTGGGCCGTGTCTGGACTACCAACGACGGCGCTGACAGTGCCAGCCAAGAATCGGCGGAAATGGAGAGTAAATAACAACAAGAGTCACACACTTACACGAGTACATACAATACATACAAGTATACAATGCCTGCGAATAGTAAGTGTTCAGGAAACAATTTGAACATCGAGCAACGACGGATGGCGGAAGGCAGGTGAAGGTGGCGTACAAAGAAAGGCATTCCTCACTCTGGCCTATTTGCCCACGATTCAATTTGCCAATCAATATATTGTAATAGTTTACAAACTTTCATATTTAGGCATATTAAGGGTGTCATTAGCGCAGCAATAAATTGATAGACGTCAGCACACATGGTAATCGGCGATGGACTTCGTTGATGGAATCCGCAATAATGTGCCAAGTCAGGTGCTTTCAGCTGTAGAAGAAGAACACCAATCATTTTTCTGTCACTGAGCCATTAAGTTGGTTGGCCCCCAACTGCAATCTGGCGGAAGTGTGAGCAATATCGTCCCTCATACTCCCCGCATTTCAATAACGTTCCTGTACGACTATGTACACTGAAATTATTTCAGCAAATTCATTCATCGCATGCGGTAGGGCTTCAACACATGTGTATACATACATACATACAAGCCAGCGCTTTAGTGGAGGCGCACGTCAATGCCTAATGCCACACATGGTTTATGGCTGCTATTGTTGCTTTATTGCCTCCGTGCCTAGTGGTGGCCTTTGCCTTAATTGAATTATGAAATTGTGGGTGTGCGATTTTTACTCATTTTAATTTGGCATCCCAGCAGAGAACCCGTTTACACGCATCGCTTTTGTTCGCTTTAATTGGCTTTGGTAATAATTTAATTATGTTTTCATAATTGCAATTTTGATCACTTTATCATCGCTTACTTCTTCAACCCAGTCAGCGAGGTTAATGGCGTACAGATTACTATTCTCAGCTGCAATGCCCACCCCTCCAACATACATGCGTATGTTAGCAAGTCCACAAGCGTGACGTGCCGCCGCATATACCGTGACTAAGCAAGTTCCTATCACTTTTGCGCGCTTCAATGATAGCATTTGGATTAGCGCACAGTTCTGAAGATTCTGAAGATAGTGGACGACTTTCGCTAAGTTCTAAAGCGAAATTGTTCAACTGATGCTCTATCTTAAGCCACAAGACCAAAATACCATTAAACAAGAATTTTATATTATTTCGATTTGAATCCTCGAGGCATTCTATTAAAACGTCTATTTTGTTGACCCTAGTTCAAGTCGGAATTCAAAGGAATTAACTGCGTTTCAGGAAAGTTTTGCAATTGGCTCCACCTCAATTTGCAATTTAGAAAAATGCAATTCACTCCCGTAGCAGGTTGGTTCGGCCATTATAAATCAATTTGGCGCGTTGTCCGCACCACGCCGTTAATGGCGCCGCTGCTCAGAGCCTTTAAGAGTACCATTTCGCCTCATTTATCTCTGAGTTGCTTGCCATGGCACATACATATGTACTCACTTGTTTGCAACGTGCAATAGCAGTGCTTTTCTTGAGGTACATAAATCTAATTCCAAATGTGTCGAGTCAATTTAGTCATATACTCGAACTACCTCAGCCTACTTCAGGCGCGCCCCAACCAGGCACCAACGCCCAATCCGCAAATGGGTTATATTGTGCGGCAATAGGTCCAATGCCACACCATAAATCCTACAGAAAATGATTTGCATTGATTGCAAATGAAATTGACTCGGATTTAAGTGAGAACTCATACTAAATTCGATTTCAATCAAATTGTATACTTTAATCACAGCTTAGCACGCCGACTAACTGCCATCTAAACTGTGTCGTACAACAACATATAATTAACTCTTACGGCGAAAATGCAGTGCGACCGCGCCGAGTGAAGGCGAAGGCAACCGCATTCCCCTCAGGTGGACAGGTGGACAGGTGGCTTGGCGTTTGGCGTTTGGCGCTGGAGCCGCAGTGCTCAGTAATGTGGTTTTAATTGAATTAAATAAGGAGTCAGTTGTGAACGCCTCTGCGCTGTGCAAATAGCGGCAGACATGCATACTCGTGATGCAACGAAAACAGTATGCGGCATGCCACAATTCTTTCGCAATTAGAGGCTAATCGCTATTTAATGATAGATGCGACGCCGCTTCGCGCAATAAGTGCACGAACGACAAAAATACAAACCTAACGATAGTTTGGACATCCAAAATGGTGGAGCTAAGCACATGATATTATTGAAAAACGAAGTAAATCGAATCTTAGATATACATATATATAGATATATACAGTTTCTATCACCTCTGCTTACATTGCTTTTTTACTTGTTTTCTATTCGGCAAACCCACCCGAAGGTATTCCACCTGAAGTTTGCATCCATGAAAGAGAACTTGTTAGCTTCCCCAGACACGATTCGAAAGTGTCGTCTTATTGGCAGGTTTTTGGACCTCCCGGCAATATCAGTTCTACAATTTTATCAATATCAGTTCTAGGCCTTGAATATCTGTACCATCTGACCAGATTTAAACTGCGCGCGCAAACCGAAACTACAAAAAAATGGTGGCTTGATTGGTACAACCTTTTTTTACGTTCATGTGAAGTTGAATCTCCATGGGCCCATTATTCAAAAACACACACAGCTCTTTGTTTACGACGAGTAAAAATTGTCTGGCTATTGCGTGAATTGTGTGGCAATTTTTACAATGGAGAAATGTAGCATCTCTGTTAATGACGTTAACATCGGAAAATTAAAAGAAATTGCGCTTGAAAATCTTTGTGTTGGCATCAGTGAGATAGCAGAGAATCTGAATCTCTTATGGAAGCGACTCAACCGATTTGGTTAAGTTTTCCGTATTAAAGTCCTGAATCATTTGTAAAAAAGACGTCGAGTAGAGATCGAAAAATAGATGCTTGACAACGTAGCTGAGGATACTACATTGATCAAACTCATCATTACTGTTGACGAGACATGGGTTTATGAATAAGGCGTCGAAACCGTCCAACAATCCAACGAATGGCGCTCCAAAAATGAGTCGACACACAAAAAAACGAATATTCGCTAAAGACACTGAAGGACATCCCAGCCGAGGCTTATAACAAGTGTGTGGAAAATTGGATAAAGCGTTGACATTCTTGTATTGACTCAGTTGCCTATTTTGAAGGCAATAATTCTTGTAAATCTTTAAGTTAAAATACGTGAAAATATAGTTTTTTATTGTCAGTGCGATACTTGGTGAAAAAGGTAGAAGAAACCTTAAAATGTATGTCTCAATGTGTAAATGAATTGCAAATGTGCGAAGTTCTCATTAGTATTCAGTTATTTACTCGGCAAAACTACTTTTGTTTTGTGGCATGGACGAGGGCTGATGTATTTGATTAATCGCGAATATGCTTCACACAAATGTGGATCCACAGACTCCGAGCGTAACAAATGAGCGAAGCAGTTGCGTGTCTGTGGCTATTTTCTCAGAGCGCCTCAATCAAAGTTCCTAACTAACTGAACGCCCACATCAAAACACTCAAAACGATACAAATTAAAACTTGTGGGCGTGGCAAATGAGTGTCCATTAATTATACCAAGTAAGTTGAACGTTCACATTTTGAGAAAAATAAAGTAGATCAAATGAAAAAAATGAAATTCAAATAATTTTGTATATTTGTATGTGTTTATGTGGACGCGGTGAATCGCGGCTGTTGCGTGATTTGTTGCTTCGACTAAATTAATGTTAATTCGGTTCAATTTACCCAACGGAGAAATATCAAGAATTAATTGAGCAAAGGCAGTTCATACAACAGTACAAAAGCACTATGAAAAGGCATGAGTGTGCGAGTCAATAGCAGACACTACCACAACAACAACAACACTTCAAGTGGTAGCGCACATTGACGGCAGCAAATAAATGGCAAGTAATTAATCTGCGGATATTAAAGTACACACACATATGTATATACTTTCATACATATATACTATGTATATATTGGTGTTGCCACGTTTCCAACTAGAGACTCCTACCCGAAATCTAATTAGACTTTTTTCGTCTCATCGCACTTCTAACAATTATACAAGTAGAACACTTTTCTAATAGGTTTTATTATTGTAAGACAGAATATCGAGTTGTAAAGTAACTTGTGGTTATTGATTTAACTGCAGGGAAGTTATGGTCTGCTCAAGTTCATGAACAAGGGCTGGATTTTCAACGCGAACAAGATCGAGAATAAGATTGGGCGAATTTAGTTCATGGTCTTAATATTTGAAATAACTTTGTTTAGAAAAACAATTAACT